CCTTCTTTATTAGTGGTCAGTCTAGTACCTGTAAAGTCCGGTATAGCTCATTAGTGCATGCATAACCCCCCCTTTACTGATATTACTATTATTATTAACAACCATGGTGATGATGATGAAGAAGATGATGATGATGAAGAGGAGGTCCTTGGTGTGGAATGGGGCGCCGATGGTCATTTGTATTCAACTTGTACAATTGTGTCTACCAATCACTTGTCTACATTGAAAAAAAAAATAGAAAAGGAAAAAAAAAGAGAAAAGAAAAAAGTGAAATTAATGTAGATGTGTAAACATTTCTTTCTTCACACATGTATTTATATAAAATTTGGACACCTGCTCGCTACAGGTAGGTAAGTTTTGTTTCAACTTGTAATGAGTCAGGTTCAGAGGTTTCCGTTTTAATATATTATTGATAGTATTTTTTTTCTTTTAATGTATATTTGTTTATAAACCCAAATTGATAGACCGAATTGCTATGTTTGTAACAAAATAGTACTGAGATTTGAAAAGATGATATATTTACAACAAATTTAATTTATATATATTTAAACACACACACACACACACACACACACATCATTCTTTTTATCTTTTTCTCCAGATTTAATGTAAACATTAAAATTAAAATCCCCACTTTTCTTTCTCTTCTTTTTTTTTAATTGTTCAGCTTTTATTTTTGAAAATATTTAAAACGAAGATTTTACAAACCCTTTTATAAACTTACTTTTTAAATTTAAATATTTTGCATTATTTCTCCTGTGCCTATATTACCAGGTTAATTCAATTGATATTGTTTTATTAATCTATTTATTTAAAGTTCTATGAAACGTAGAAGCTGTAAAAAGTGAAGATTACTGAGTGTAAGCAAGAAAAAATGAATAAGCGAAGAAAGAAAAGAAGAGGCGAACGAATTAGCGTGTGGATACGTGAATGAATAGGAAAAAAAAGGAATGAAGGGAGAAACGCACTTACCTTTTTATAGACTAAAAGCCAAAATAAGATACAGATTGAGATATATATATAACTTCTTTTAACACATTAGCATTTTTCCAAGAGTTTATTTAAAGAAAGTCTATGGATTTTTCTTTTATTTATAGCAATTTTCATTAATAAAACTCAGGTGAACAGAGCGTTCAAACAGTTGAGTTGTATTGACATGTCTAATTCTTATAAACCGCATTTTTTTTAACGAGAAAGTTTATCTTCGAGGAAAGAAAATGCCAGTAATATCGACTGAAGTATACGTTTAAAAATATTCTTATTTTCTTTTTGAAGTAAATTAACGAACAGTTATAGTCAAAGAAGCGGCGAAAAGCCAGCTATCGGGACGATCTTTAAGTTGAAGCAACATCAGTCAGTATATCTTGCCTATTTATATTTCTGGTCAAAAATGTACTTTCACTTTCGTTTTCGGCTATAAAGAAGAAAGAGGCAAGGCTATTTCTATTTTATTTGCTGGAGTAGAATTCATGTATGTGATGTAGGTTTTGTATTATGTAAGTACTGTAGGGTGTTTTGTTTATTAATGTACTGGTAAAAACTACTCTCAGTTTGGAATTAGTTTACCGTAGCCGAAGCAAGTTTCTGCTGACAAGCCTTTTCGCGTAAACTTAGGTTGGAAACGCTTATTTTTCGTCTGCCAATACATTACTCTAATCATTAAGCTTAGCCTGCGGATCTGTGATTGGTTAAATAAAATCATTAAGAATTATGGGAAAAGAAAGGGGAGAAGCTAGTTGAAAGAAGAAAAGGGTAGAAGATAATTGGAAGAGAAAATTTAGGGGGAAAGTGAAGGAAGGAAAGGAATTTGGAGGAGATAAAAAAAAAATTGAGAGAGGAAAGAAGAAAAATTTAGAGGGAGAAGATTAACGCTAGAAAGATTGATGGGGAGAAGATTGAGGAAGATGAAGTAAGAAAAGAAAGACTGGGGAGGGAACTAAGAAGAAATACTGCTGGGAAAAGGAGGAGGATTGTGAGAGAAAAGACGAAAGAAAGAAGAATTAGGGGAGAGGAAGAAGAAACTTTAGTGAAGGAAAGGAAGAAAAATGAACGAGAAAAAAGAAGGAAGGCTGAGAGGGGAAAGGAGGGAAGAAAGGGTGAGCGAAAAAAAGGGAGAAGAAAGATAGGGGAAAGAAGGAAAATATCGAGTGAAGGCAGGAAGAAAGAAGTAGAGGAAAAGAGATGAGGAATTAAAAGAAAGAAAAAAAAACAGGTAGGTTAGAAAAGTACAAAAAAAGGAGAAGCAAAGAAAACGAAACGAAAGAAAAATGAAAAACTCCGAACAAAGTTAAGAGAAAAATAATTGTAAAACAATAAATAAAGACTAATTAAAATTTAGTGGGGTAGTCACTTATAAGTTGTTGCTCTTGTTTTCCTTTTTCAAAATTAGATTTGTAAATCGTAGTGTTATAATGTCTGAGATGTGCACGGGACGGTGTCGGGTAAGGAACAGGAGTTTAATATCTTGTTTAATTACCGATCGATTTCATTAAATTGGTTCTGCTTCTCAACCGATGTCGACGAATGGACAGGCAGAAAGTGACTCGTTTTGCCACACTTTGATTATTTATTTGTTCATTCCATCTCATTTTTCTTCTTTTCTCTTCGCATTTCCCGTTATTATTACACATTTGTATAAACTAAACTATCAATACATTTTGTTTTCTTTTTCTTACCACTTTCGCTAATACATTACTTCAAGATCGATCGCGTGCACGAAGCACACACACACACACACACACACACAATACAAAGAAGCTTAGGTTTTTCTGGCACCCGATGAGTTTATTTATTTATTTATTTATTTATTAAGTGCTGCTAAGTATGGTGTAAGGCCCAAATCTTCTTATGCAACCGAATGTTCAGAAACGCAACATCAGCAAAACAATGATCAGGCTCGACGCATGGGACACCTAGTGCGCACCCAATGAAGATCGAACCGAGTACACAGTGGTTGTGACCTAAGAAACGAACTCAGTTTTAATCCACAGCGAACTGGTATATATATATATATATATATATATATATATATATATATATATATATATATATATATATATATATATCTTTGAGTCTTTCTAGCCATAGAGAGAAAGAAAGACAGTCTGTGTGGACACAGGAATTCACAGTGCTTGGAAAACAATGCAACACACACACACACACATATATATATATATATATATATATATATATATGGAGAGAGAGAGGCGAGCTGAATGGATAGGGTTTGTGACGTTGGGTTTCACGCTTATGCGATCCTCAGACAAACCTGAGGTCGTATAAACGTGAAACCCAGCGTCACAAACTCATATCCATTCAACTAAATATGTTAGATCTATCACTGATATTGAGTGCTTTTTTTAAAGCACACACACACACACACACACATATATATATATATATATATATATATATATATATATATATATATATGTGTGTGTGTGTGTAAAAAACTATAAATGTTATATTTGTTGGATACACGTGTTTAAGTACACATCCATGATTTTTAAATTAGTTCATTGTATATATCTTTTATTACTTTAAACAAGATATATAAGACCAAATGAATAAAGACAGAAGTGAGCTTTATCAAGGCAAATTTGTCCTGATAAAGATCCATCGGAGGACGTAATGCATGGATAAAGACAAGTCTTCCTTTTGTCCTTATTTTCACACACACACACACCTCTACGATTGAATGTAAGATATCAAATCTTTGTGTGTGTGTGTGCGCACACACTGATAACTCGATGTATATATATATATATATATATATATATATATATATATATATATATATATATAATTGCATACAAGATAGGTGTGTGTATACATAAACATGTTTCTTTTTACATATATATATAAGAGAGAGGGGAGTGGGTGCTGAAGTTATCAGACCATTCAAAAATCGATTCCAAAATAAATTGTAGATGTTTGGCTATTTTGTTAGATTTCGGTAAGTGTGTTGGGTCGAGAACTTTTCCGCACCTCGTCGTCGTGCATTCGCACTGAAGGACATATGTGCACGTCTGTCAGGATATGCGGCGCTATATTCTTGCCATTAAATAAACTTAATAGTGCCTCTGCAGAGACCCGTGCTCACATAAGCGCAGGGTGCCTCAGGTATTTAAGAAACACTTCCTGACTGTCCCTTAAGTGGTAGGCGAAGGAACGCGGCGTGTGCCAAATTGTCTCGTTTTCGTTTCGGCATCAGACCTCATCGAGGGCATTAACATGGCACAGGCTATGAAAAGACAGGCTGACAAACACGAGTAATGAATGTGGCTTCGCGCGGAACCCAATGGATTTTATCCACGTGCTCACGTCACACAAAATGTGGCAAAAGGTCGTTTTTAATGTGAGCTTTCGGACAGCCGTACAAAAATTACTCAAGCCTCCATGGCAATTCTTCATTTGGGAACCGCCCGGTAATAGCGCCTGTCTTCGAAGTACTACTTGGAGAGATAGCATCCTTGGGCTTGTATCGCATGACCTATGATTGTCCTTTATCTTCCAAAGATTCACGGGGAGGACTGGGCCATTACCTCACCGTTCTGGCTCAAGTTGGTATGGGCGAATGTGACAAGCTTGGGCCATTATCTTCCATTCACGACCGCCCACGGTTATTTGCGCGTGAATGAGTGTAACGAACCCAACTGGGATTTGAAATCGGCTCTCCAGTTTCTCGTTCAGAGACATCATTCATTGCACCGCCCGCACATACGCACACAGCACCTGGTATTCCCAAGCGGTCACCCGTCTAGACTCGCTGTTGATTAACTCGGCTGATCTGATAATAACAGGTGTAAACCTCCCCGTCCGGCTAGGCAGAGGAAGTATTGCGCCGACAACAAACAGGTCCTCAAGATGATGCAAGTTTATGTCATCTGTAATGTAATGATCAAAGCTGTAGACGGGAGCAATGGGGGCCCGTATCATGCCGTCCAATTTCTCCTGAAAGCCTCAGAACCAATGTCACCACCGAAGATGGTAGACACGGTGGTCAAGGGCTTAGATCCAGCGGGTGCTGCACGTGTTTCACAAGACTCAGCTCACCTCCCACATGACCCACGTCACCCAGGAGTAGCTGACTAAGCCTTTTTTCACGACCCCCACTTCCCACTTTACATGTTGATTCTGCATTCTCTTTATTTGAATCTCCTGGTCTGCTATGCCTCGAACGTTGTCAAGGAGGAAACCTGTCAGCGACCTCACATTATCGATGATACATTTAAGGCCGCTATCGGAAGCGTGGGGGCTATCATGATCAAGGATCACATGATCCGGGCATATTTTTTTTTAATCATTTAACGTCAAGCGATAAAGCCAATAAAATACAAGTGGTTACTCAGTGAAAGACAATTATTGATTGATTTTCTACGATTTATCAACCAATTGCAGGTTATTTTAAGCTAGAAAATATCTTAAATTGTAAGGATTTTTTTTTCAGATTATAATGATATAGTGATAAGTTTTACTAATTAATCCATAGCTGGAAGAAAAGGGGTGGATTCATACTATCCACAATTTGATAAACAATCAAGAAATTGTGGATATAAAGTGGGGGATCAATTCTGTAATACAATTAATATATGAACTGATCCCACACTTTGTGGCCACAGTAGTTTCTATACATTAATATTCCAGAGAATGTAAACAAATCTAAAAGACATGCCTGTGTAGCTAATCAGTATTTGATTGATTGATTCGTTTTGCAGGTTATTTAAAGCCAGAAAATATTTTTAGATCGTTAGAATTTTTCTTGGGGGTAATAATAATTTAATTTACAAGTCTTAATAATTAACCCAATAGCTGGAGGGGAAAAGGGTATGTGTGCGTGGGTGAATATAATGAACCCAACAAGAACTGGAACCCGGCTCTCTGATTAACAATTCCAAGCCATTATCCATTACACCACCTGCACATCCAAGCTTACAGCACCTGGTATTCTCAAGTGATCTCCCATACAAGTACGGAAAAAGATTATGTTATTGAGAAGAGCCAGTACAATCAAAGAACGGGAATGGAGTAGATGAGGTTTGATGTCGCATTTAAGTTTCTGAAGATTCCAGTCGACAGGAAAGCTAGAAGCTGAAGAGTGCTCTACAGGCAAGAATTCCGAGGAAAGAGGCTATTAGAATAGAGCTAAGGGTCGCATTTAGCAGTCTCAACAGTATAAAGATGAGACCTAACTGTCAATCTACGCTAAAATTTGTGAAATCAAGGTACTAATGAGTATTCATCAGAACAATTACCATGAAGATATCTACAGAAAAGTTAGAAGGAAGCTATGTTACGACATTGGTAAAATAATTGAACACGGGACACAGTCGTTTTCAAGGCTGACGGCGGTTTTATTGAAAAACTTTTTCTGTTTTTCTAAACTGGAGAGGGCCGGCGTATACTACCCACCGAACTGCCTGGGCAGTACTTTATGATCCTCTTTATCTCATCAATATTTACTTTTTTCTACCTACATTTATATACGTTATGAATTAGACTTAGCATAACTATTAAAGGATGAAAAATCTTCACGGATTTTGACGTCATTCTGGGGCTTTTCTTTTCTCTCGTCCAAATCTGCTCATGATGCTAAGTCTAAAAAAAAAAAACACACTCTATAAAATTCATTGTTTTTTGTTTTTTTTTTTATCCATAATGTTAAATGTGTTAAAATACTTCAACTTTTTAACAAGAAAGAAAAATCTCAAATTGATGTTAAAAATTGCCGCAAAAAATTGTTGATTTATTTAAGATGGAATGATTTATTATGACATGTCTCTAATTTATATTTACATACATTGTATTTATTTTCAATTTTTCTAGTTGAATTGTTCGCCTATATTGCATAAAATCCATTATTGTTGATAATTACGTTACAATAAAATTTGTATTTTATATGAACTCTATTACATCTCAATTTTCATAAGGTAGGGTGGGTGGGGCGTATCATAGATTTATAGGAGTTGGGCACAAGATGCTTGCACCGACCCTGAAACTGAACATATGTAAACATTTATCTTCTGCTGGATATTTTTGATCTTCTTTAATATAATTGGTTCTCAATTACCTAGCGCAACCTGTATATTTTCTAGCTTAAAATAACCTGCTATTGGTTGATAAATCGTAGAAAATCAATCAATAATTGTCTTTCACTGAGTAACCACTTGTATTTTATTAGCTTTATCGCTTTGTCTGTGGTTGTAATCAATATAAGGAAAAGTATTTATTTGAAAAAGTTATCCACATAAGCAGAGTCTAAGTATCAAATACATCTTATATAAGATGCCCGTATGCAGCGGAACACATGCCTATATTTATTTCTTTATTTGCCGGTATAAACGCGACAGTATAAAAACAGTCTGTCATATAGTGTCTTTATCATTCCCTCCCATATACACAATTAGAAGTACCTGGAAACCACACCGACGATTGATCTGAGCTTTTAGAATGAAATTGGGTGGATAAAAGTAAAACTTATTCGAATACTGTCGATAATTGCAACTTCCAAGTCATCGTGGCTGAGGATTTTAGCGTACTGGCTTTCTTCAACCATTGATCATGCAAGATTACACACACACACACACTCTCTCTCTCTTCCAGAAACTGTAACTAAAGTCCACTCAGCATAGTTAGAATATAAACCACAGGTTATCACCGTGGTTGTTGAACGAACACAGATGTTCCTGAGCAGGTGTCTGCAATCGGGATTGTGATTAGCTAGAGATTGACGGATGCCTACTATGGGTGATATAGCTGCTTATTTCCTGCTAACGCCAGTAACGATCCGTGTTCGATTATAGTTAAAAGCTAAGATCTTGAACGTTGATTTTCAAGGCAGGTACATTAGCTGCCTCCGCTGCGCTAGTCTTCCCCGCCCTCTTAATTACTCCCCCAACCAATAAATAAATATCAATAAATATCAGAAACTCCGTTAATCAATGAAATGGGAAGATTTATTTAAGAGGTCGAGGTGTTTTGCCTATTTTCTTAGATATATTATTTACTGTATGTACGCGTGTATACCACGGGTTTTATTATCATTTTCTTTACGAAACAAGATAGGGGGTCGCACTATATTAAGTTATTTTTTTATTTTTATTTTTTTTTGAAGAGTTTAAAAATCATGCGTTTTCGGTGATTGGTTGCACTATACACAAGTAAATATTTTTCTGGTGGTGGTTAAAATCCATGCGAAAAAAAAAATCAGTGGTCCAGCAAAACCTGAAGTCGACTTATACACGAGTATATACAGCAGTTCTTAATTTTTCTTGTTTTATGTTGCTCTAAGCGATCTTTTTGGTTTTTATAGAATAAATAAAAATGTAAAATAAATAAATAAATAAATAAAAAAATCGAATTTAAAGGTAAATTATTACAAAATTTGCAAATTTAAAAATTGAAATATGTAAAAGTAGGTTTTATTTTATTTTTCAGTCTGGTATCTTAACCGAAATTAAGATCAGTTTGACTCATCTACAACTATTTTGTTCTCATATTCCAAGCGATGAACAAATACGTTGTGATTTTTTTTTATGCATATGTTTCTAACACAATAACTGCGCTGTCTTTGCGATAATGTGAATGTAATTTTCATAAATATTATGACTAAAACCAGAAACCCCTTGTAGTTACTTGATATAGGTATTTAGAATGCTACTTCACTAATCATGACAATTTGACATGCCACTTGCTAAATATCAAAGCAAAACATTGGCGGTGCTCAAACACCTCACCGTACTAACGCGGGGATGATAAGGCGTTAAATACCCCAGTTAAATAATTTCATAAGTAGTTTAAGTCTCTGTATATAAACACTTAGATTTTCTGCTGAAATCGTATACATTTTTATCCTAAGAGTTAAATATGGCACAAGGCCCAATTGATAGAGCACCTAACGAGGATCTTATTGCATTAGCGAATTGACACCTAATTTTGTTGACCATAGATTTCAGTCTGATTGAGAAAATGTAGATAGTTACTAAATTTTAGTTAGTCTGGCACAGGGCCATAACAGTGGGGTTTGAGGGATTAACTTGGTAACTGGTTTATTGCTGACTCCTGTTCTTCAAAATTTCGTCTGGAAAAACAGACGCGAAACAGGAAAAGCCTGATAGATAGATAGATAGATAGACAGATAAACAGATAGATATGAAAAGACTGACACTAATATATAATAACCAGATCCACATTAATAAACCAAGAGATGAAATAGATCGATAGAAAGAAAGAACCTGGCAGACATAGACAGGAAGATAACAATTGGCAGATAGAAGAACTGAGATATATATATATATATATATATATTGTCCAGATATAGTCATTATATAATCTAAAATATAATTACAGTATTGATAGCTCTTCAGGTGGTACGATTGATCTGTTTTCGAGCTAGGATAAATACCCATATTTCGAATGCTGGTCGTCTGATATCCACTTTGAAGTTTGGCGTAACACGATCTTTCTACCCTGACCCCCAATCTGTCTTTGTATCATAGGACGTCAAGTTTTTGATGGAGACTTACGAAACCAGACGTTTACTATTTTCTTAATTTCTCGACAGGATACACGTCTTTGGTTTTCTTCGTTGTATCTGAGTAAAATGTTCATCTTGCTGCTATTACAGTGTAAACATGGCCGCTCCGCTAGCAGTGTGCACCAACGAGGAACAAAGAGCGGTGACCCGAATCAGCAGAGAACATGCTACTTTATCGATGATAACTCACCTGTTCACCATCACCATCTCTCGAACTTGCTGAATCTTTTCGTCAGTTGTAGAGGTTGACTGGCGTACTGCTTCTTCTTCGTGCGTCACGCTTTTCCGGCGAATTTTAAACTTCTCGATCTGCTGATACACCCGTTTACGTGGTAGTGCACTATCGCCATATTGTGTTAAAAGCCCCTGATACACCTTCCGACCAGAGAAATCGGTTCACTGCTCATTTTTTCCACGTTGGTGCGCACTGCTAGTGTAGCGGCCATGTTTACACTGTAACAGCAGCAAGAAAACTGGCACGATCAAGCTCAAACTTCGATTACGTGACCACAATAATACCAACTATTAGCACGCATCAGCAGAAGGTAGTGTGAAAAAACTAAAGGTATATCATGGCAAAATTCCGGATAATTTTGAATTAGTCTTAAAGGAGGAAGTGTGCCTTCAACATTAGGAAATTATTTCCCTGATTGTATGTCCGACCGTTCTGCTTTTCTCTCAAGGATCACAGTGTAATAGCTGTCCGATCGTTGGCACTTTTGTGCTAGAACTCTTCTTGACCGAGAAACCTACATAATATTATTAAGCGATAATTGATTGATTCATTTTCTACGGCTTATCAACCAATTGCAGATTATTTAAAGCCTGGAAATAGTTTTAGAGTGTTAGAATGTTTTGTGGTGGTGGTGGGGGGTAGCGAGATAATAATGGTTTAGTTTACAAGTCTTACTAATTAGTCCATAGCTTGGCTGAGACGAGTTGGATTCCTACCTTTCCCAATGGGATTTGTGCGTAAGTGAATATAACGAACCCAACGGGAATTGAAACTCGGCTCTCCGGTTAACAATTCTGAGCCAGCCTCCATTAAACCACCCGCATATCCAAGTTTAAGGCACCTGGTATTCCCAAGTGGTCACCCATCTAGGTACTGACCTGGCTTGACCATGCTTAACTTCGGTGATCTTACGAGAATCGGTGTTTCAACGTGAAGGAGCCGTAAGCCAATAAACGAGAAAGGTTCAGGAAACGCGAAGAAGTAGAGGGCGTGAAGAAGGAATTTTAGGAAGTACGAATGCTGAAGAAAACTGAAAAGAAAACCAGGTGAAAGGAAAAAGTAATCAACATCTACAAAGTCGGAAAAGATGGAGACGAAATCGAAAACAGAATTGGTAGTTACATATCAAGAGACAACGACAGAAAAGATTCGAAAGGCATATCGGGATGGAAATGTGTAAAATTGCTCCTTATTAAAATTATTTATGGTGGGGGTGGGCAAAAGCAAAAGAAAGATATATATATATATATATATATATATATATATATATATATATATATAACAAGATACACTTTTATTCCATTTATTCAGCCTATTGTCCTCATCTATTTCTTTCTTTTTTATGTGCTATGTCCTTTCAGGACGTAGACGATCATGGCTCTCCACCTCCCTCTATCCCTTGCAGCTCTTAACAAGTTCCTTCCCTCTGCCATCTCCCCCAAGACCACGTTCTGTCATCCACTTGCTAAAGCTAGCTAGGTATGTCATGCATTTTCCTTTGTCTCTCTTTCTCTCTATTCAACTCGTGAGTATCAGATTCTCCAGGCCCTCCTTCCTCATTATGTGCCCCAGAAACTTCAGCTGCCTCTTCCTGATATTAAGTGTAAGCCTCCTCCTTGTTTGCATCCTCTCTTCGTCGTTGCTCACACGCTCGGTCCATGATATCCTTAGCATCCTTCTGTAGAACCATATCTCCATCGTCTCGAGTCTCTTCATCTTTGAGGAAATCATCCCACATTCGCTGCCGTGAAGAAAAATGCCATTATATGCGTAACGTTTCTACCAAGTACCCTCTGGTCATCTTCAGATGTCCTTTATTTTGGCTGATATCGAATATCTTACATTGGTTAACAATATAGCTGTTGGTTAACCAAGTGTTATTCTTGTCTAGTGGTTGTGAGTTCAACCTGTGGCTCGAGTATTCTTCCCTACCTTTATAACACGATGGGTGGAGTTAGAAAATTCTTTTGAATTCTTAGTTGGGTGGGGGTTCAAAATAAGTTGATACTGCTGACACCTTCTGTTTTATGTTGAAAGTTTAGCATGAAGTACAAAATATTTTACTTTGAAAATGGAGATAGTTTATTTTTGTTTTTTTCATTCGTATAAATAGAAGCTGCTTTTCCTATGGCTTATGAGTCGTGTCAAGGAGTGTAGATAAATATTAAACTCTTGTTCAACAGAAAAGTTCTAATAACGGCATTACGGAGCTAAAATAACACAATAATTAACATATATAAGATATCCCATATCAACCCAAATAACGGTCTCCGGAGGATGGTCAGAGAGTACTTGGCCGAAACGTTGCGTTTATTTTAAAATATAAAATAATCGATATTTCGACTAAATCGAACATCAAAGTATATTTAAAATTCCTCATCAGTAAAAGTAAAGCCAAAATGATCAAAAGAAAGTATGCATCAGAAAATATCGGTGCGTTTCTTGTTCCTTTCTCACATAGGAAAATAATCCGTGTTTAAATGAGCAACAGTGATTAGAAGGGATAAGGAAAAACATGAGAAGATACAGGTTAAGCTTCAGAGAAGAGCAAAATCAAGATAATATTTGTTGTATTGGAAGGGATAAGGGAAAGAATGAGAAGATACGTGTTATGTTTTAGTGGGGAGAAGAGGTATGGCATAATTGCTAACCTTCCGTTGTATTGGAAGGGATAAAAGAAAGAATGAGAAGATACAAGTTAAGGTTCAGAGAAGAGAAGAGCAAAATCATGATATAATGGCTAATATTTGTTGTATTGGAAGGGATAAGGGAAAGAATGAGAAGATACAGGTAAAGTTTGAAAGAATGTTATAAGTATGAAATAATGGATAATTATTAACTCTTGTGATATTTCTATGGGTTTAGTTAGCTAGTTAAACTTAGGAAAAAAGGCTCCTTAGGCAAGTTATTCAATCCTCTACCTCGTCAATCAACGGGTAAAACTTACCAGAGCGATCTCATCGATCATTCGTGTGTCTTAGTTCTTGACGATGCGGCTCATCAGAATGTTGTGTTGTAGAAGAAGCTCTTTATTAGGTCAACGTAATTCAGAATATAAAAATGGTTATTTACTCTTTTCCTCTCTTACGATGTAGAAATCTTTCTTTTATTTATATTATTATATTATTTTTACACAGTTTGTAAGTGATTCTAATTTCTTCACTTTTAAGATTTCTTTTAATACATACTTAGGAAAGCACTAGAATACCGTTAAGTAGTCTATAACGAACTTTCTATATATTTAATTCTTATTTTACGACATACAAGACCTCTCATTCCACTTAATAATATTACGAAGTTTAATATGCGGTTGACATAATGGTTACCGATGCAGAGAATGGAATCGAGCTCCCGAATTCAAATTCCAGCTGGAGTAGTTACATTCATTTTGTTTTAGGAAGCACAGAAAATACATTTCTCTCCCACTTCAGCTGTCGTAGGGCGGACTAGGATCTCTAGCTGTGTTAGGGTAATCAGTCTAAAAGAACTGATAGCCCTGATTTTGAAATCCTGGAGAAAAGGCAAAGCAGTCATGGTAATCCACCGATATTTAAAGGAAAGGAAACGGCGGAGAGCCATGACCGTTTACGTCCAGAAATGATGTGGGCTTTAAATAAATATAGGGCATTACGTCTGGTATAAGTATCGGTTGTATACAGCACGAAGTAAAGAAAGGGTGATTTTCCATATCAACTTTTGTGTTTATCACAACGTTTCGGCCACTGTGCCTCCGGCCTTCATCAGGAACATATTGATCCAGGTAGCCTACAGGGAATTCCGAACTGAACCTTTTATTTAATCTATGGGAGTTCAACTGTTCTCAGTCCACTGTCCATGTCTAGGGATATCTTATGTAGTTCTTATTCTTAGTATTACTGAGTTATTGATCAACCTGTTTCTACTGAGTCCAAGTAAACACTAGCCGGCCCAGGGATTGAACTCACAATGCCACCAAATTCACGAACCAACATGGCGACCAATAATTAATCAGCACTAAAAATAACTAGATGCGATATCCCTCGACGAGGGCAGTGGAACGTGAACAGTCTAACCCCGTTTGCTATCGGTTAGCCGGATCGATATACACGTGATGAAGGCTGAGTGTCAATACAATAAATATTGATAACCCCACATCTTAGAAATTCGAACATAAATGATTTAGGGATTTCATATGCTACCAGATACGATAATTAAATGTTTACGGGTTCGATTAAAACGAGTATATATATATATATATATATATATATATATATATATATATGTAAAATAAATAAATCGAGAAGTATAAGAAGTTGTATTGCTGATATCCAGTGACGAGTGGACGGACTCGTCCATCTTCGAAACTCTGGAGTCGAGATGCTGAAGGTAACATGAATCAGCTAAGCGACAAACCTTTTACTTATATTAATTCTCTCTCCTATATATATATATATATATATATATATATATATATATATATATATATGAAACATCGAAAAACAAATCTGTGATATTTTTTCTAGTATCCTCTATTATTTTTAATGATTGTCACTAAAGGAACGTTCCAAAATGACAACTACGAAATGGAGACAACAGAATTCAAGCAAGTGCGAAGATTTAGATATCCTTGGATGGAACAACCCAGAACATCAATTGGAGATCCCATGCAACGCTGAATACATTTTACGTAGAACTGAGACCAATCCCTCTTAAGCTCAAGCAAAAACAATTTGTCGGACACTGCCATCGAGCTGACAGAGAAATCGTCTCATCCTTACTCTTATGGCATCCTTCTGGAAGAGTCTTCTCACAAAAATTGACGTTCACAAACACCATAGCTCGAGACTCAGGGTTGAACAATGGGGATCTGGGGTCAGTAATTCAGGATCGAACAGTGTGGAAAGGGATTGTCAATGGAGTTCCGACCAACCATAGGGAGGTTAAAGGAGGAGGATGGTGATGAAACGTGTTTCTAAACACTGATGTAGATAATGGTGGATTCATACGTATAGACATCTACTAAGTGTAGCTTATTCTAGTACAATAACTCAGCCGTGGAGCCTGCATGGGGATCGAACTCACTACACTAGTTAACCGGTTTACGTGACTATCTAGATGCAACTGTAAGTCTTATGCTAACAGTTTCTTTTTTCAAACATCTCTCTCATGGAAGTTTTTTTTTCTGGTTTCTTGCTTTGATCTTCAAAACTTTCTAAACGCAATGTCAATTGATGTCTTTTTCTTCATAATTCTTTTTTTTATCTCACTCTCACTCTCACTCACTCACTCATAGTATTTTTAATTGTTTGCCGGCCACCGAGCAGACAGGGAAATCATCTCATCCTTACTCTTATGGCATCCTTCTGGAAGTGACTTCTCACGAAAATTGACTTTCGCAGACACATTAGCTCGTTACTCAGGGTTGGACTTTAGGGATCTGGGGGTCAGCAATGCAGGATCGAACAGTGTGGAAAGGGATTGTCAGTGGAGTTCCGACCAACTATATATGGCGATCGAAGGATGATAATGGTGACGATGAGATATCCATGAAGTGCTTAAACAGAGGTAGAAAATGTGACACCAAAAACAGAATGTGTATTGGAATAGCGGAAAATTCTTAACAAAACTAAGCGAAGTATTAAAAAACAGGGAAATTTCGTTACTTCTGTGTAATATCACTCTTTCTATATGTCAGTGAATGCTGGACAATCTTCTTACAGAGGAAGTACAGACTGAGACAACAGAAATATGGTCCTACAGAAGGATGCTGGGAATAACATTGACTGCACATGTGATTAACGACGAAGTTTTAAAGAAGATGTACACAAAAACAACGAATCAGAAAGAGACAATTGAAATGTCCAGCGTACATAATAAGGAAAGAGGGTTTCGAGAATTTGACACTCACAAGTTTTATTGAAAGCAAGAGAGGAAAACAGCGAATAACCTCCATAAGAAGTTTGAAAATAGTTGACAGAACAGGGATTTGGAGCGATAGCATAAAGACAAAACTTACTAAGAGCTATAAAGGAGATGAAGTTGTGGAGAGCCATGATCATCCACCTCCTGAAGGGACACAGCACATAGAAGATTGCTGTATATTGTGAAGAATATTGATATTAAATGAGTTTCTTTGTTTATCGTTAGGGGACTGGTAAAAGTTAAATTTTCATTTTTCGCACGGAAAAAGGAAGGGGTTATCTTGCACTTTAGAGTCCAAAACGTTCTTTCTCGTACCAAATACTGAATAAATTCCCTTAGATTACTTTATGTAGTCTCATATTCTGAGCATACTTAAAATACCAATACAGAATATTTTTTTAACGGGGATTAAATAGACATAATATAGATAAAATAAATCGTGTTGCATTTTAGGTGTTATTTTAATTTTTAATTCCGATACAAATCCTTTCATATAGAAAAGCCTGGCGGTAGTTTCGATTATTTTTATTTCATTTGTTATCTTTCGTTTCCCGAGTTGTAAGTCTTCCTTTGTTATAAAATTGCTGCTGATACAATGCGGAATAATAATAATAATAATAATAATAATAATAATAAAAAACGATGAGATAAAAATACAAATAACAACTTTAATAAACTGAGTGAGATAGACCAAGCTGAACATGTCGATACACCGCGAGTCAAAATTTCAGTTTCAATAAGAGCTGGTCGTCTCTATCTTTATAACGTTTCGATGTATTGTAAATTTGTTACCGACAGTTGTATTTTCTCCCAGCTTCCCTCGTCTTTTATATTCCACCAAGAAAAATGTTATTAGTCTGAAGAAGTTATTTCTTAGATCGAAACTAGTTATATATATATAATATATATATATATATATATATATATTTTTTTTTTTCATTTTGCCATTCGCATAGCCTCTATTTGGGTTTTTATTTATGGGGAAACGGCAGCTCAAAATAAGGGACGAGATGAGTCAATCTAAGGGAGGTAACTAAGGTTATTTTCTAAGCGTAGCTTAGATGTGGCACAAAGCCGAAAGTATGGGGCACCCAGTGAGGATCGAACTCACTATTCAGTCGTAACTGTTTTAGCGAGACAAGCTTGCTAACCATTACACCACGCCATGATGCCCTGATTTTCTAAGCGTAGCTTAGATGTGGCACAAGGCCGAAAGTAAATGGCACCCAGTGAGGATACAACTCACTACTTAGTCGTACTCGATTTGCCCTAAGCGAGCTAAAATAGATGTCTGTAAAAGATATAGTCTGCGCAAATATTTATTTTCGCATTATTGCTATAAATGAGATAGTTTAGAATTCATTCATGTGTTTTTTGTTTTGTTTTTTGTGTTTTTATTTTGTTTTTTTTGTTTTTATTTTGTTTTTTTTTTTGTGTTTTATTTTGTTTTTTTGTCTTATTTTGTTTTTTTTGTGTTTTTATTTTGTTTTTTGTGTTTTTATTTTGTTTTTTGTGTTTTTATTTTGTTTTTTGTGTTTTTATTTTGTTTTTTGTGTTTTTATTTTGTTTTTTGTGTTTTTATTTTGTTTTTTGTGTTTTTATTTTGTTTTTTTTGTGTTTTTTTGTGTTTTTTTTTTTTGTTTGTTTTTCTTAAATTTTGTAACCGATTGCTCTTTGACCAGTTGGTTTAAGCGTTCAATCGTAAATATAGAAATGATTTACGCGCAGGGGATATAAGCCAAATCGAACATGAAGTTACTTTTAAAACGGTCCCATTGTGAAGGTGACGTTCCCGCTGCTCAGCTTCAAGTCATCGGAGATTTGGATTT